CTTTGTTCAAACAAAAGGTTTATCAGGAAGCCCAGCATGACATCATACACAGGTGGAGTTGCTCTGGTTGTATCTGGAGGTGGTGGCTCCTTGGGGCTGCCTTACCCTTCCACCCAACCCTTCCAATCACATGTCCTTTCTATCCCCTCTCGGAAAGCTCCATGGACTGCCTAGGTTTCCACAGAGAACATTTGCAAAATCATGGACCTATGTAACCCCTCTCTGGCACCCCCTTGGTGGTGGTGTAACTTCCCATACTGCCCTGCCCATAGGAAGTCCAGATGCCCAGGACCCTGGCTCGCTAGACTGCAGTCCTGATCTTAGGCAGATCCAGAGTAAGACTTGGAAGGGATGTCATTTGTGACCCCACGGTGAGGCTTCCCATGTGTACATGAAAAAGACTAGCAGAGAGAGGGATTCCTAGCACAGGGTGCCCTTTAGCAGCTGTTTAGGAGTTGAACACATGAGCTCAAACAGCTCCAGGTTCAAATACTGGCTCCACCACTTCCTGGCTGTGTGGCTTACAGCCTCTGTTTTTGTTTGTTAATTAGGAAAGTAATAGTCCCCACCTTAAAAAGTAATCTTGAGCATTAAACAAAAGAATGGAGAGAACGCATGTGAAGTGCTTAGCATGGCCCAGCGAACTCAGTAAATTGCAGCTGCTACCTGAGCCTTTCAGGGAAGAGGTTTGCACCCACCACAGCTTCTCCCCCCTCCCTGCACTCCCTCCCCATCCTTTCTCTCAAGGTATGTCCCTGACAGAGGCCACCTCAGAGCCTGTTTTCACCCTCCAGGCCTGAAACACTCTGTCCTTCCCATCCTTTCCAAATGTGTCACCTGGCATTCTGGGGGTGTTTGGGCAGCAGCCACAGCAGCTCACCCAGACAGCACACACTGTAGCTACTATCCAATCACCTAATAGCTTGACATTTATAAAGGGCCTCCAGGGCTTCAGGATGACTGCAGTTTTCAAATGTGAAGGTACTGTAGTCTTGCACCTGTGCCAGGCAAGATGCCAGCAAAAAGGAAAAGTGACCCAAGCTTTTGGTGCCCTCAAGTGTCCTTAGTGTGTTTAAGCAGAGGCAGATTTACCCAGAAGCTAATGAAGCACAAGCTTCAGGGTCCGTCAACTGCACAATCCTGTGTTTTCTGTAAAATTTGCAAAAGTGGTGTATGTTTGCATTTTATTTTCCCCTAACAAAGCCCTCCAAAATTGTATTAAGAAGCAAGCTCCACAAACTCTAATGAACTTCTGCGTTTAAAACAAAGTTCTCTCTTGGGTCAGCCCTGCCTGGAAGCCTACACCTCCTGTTGTTGCAGATGCATTTGGAGGTGCGAGTCATGAGGAGGGGTTACACTGTGTGCTGAATTTGGTGATTCTTTGGATCAGAATGGAGCCAGGACTTTTCATCTTTAGGGAGTCAGAGTTCCCTGTAGTGGCTGGAAGACTCAGGTGCGGTGTCACACTCTGAGCCTAGGAGACCTCCCAAGGAAAACTGCAGAGGAGAAGCCTGACCTGCCCATGGCAGAGGCTGATGTCAAGAGCCAATGAGCTACCTGCCGACATGTTGTGATGGCTGGCTGGGTCTGATTGCAAAAACACTCAAAACAGTGAGTTAGGGACTAAAAGGCCGGAGATAAGCGCCCTACCTCCACCCCTGGCAAGTCATGCGTGGAAGAAGGTACCCAGCTCGTCTGTGCCTCACTTGACTGAGAAATACAACGGGGAAGCATGAAACACTCCCTAGCCTTCATTAGGAGGAGCACAGGTGCTGGGGAGCCGAAGCAGCCACATGCCCCGACACCAGCGGAGTCACAGTTCTACAACCTCGGCAGCCCGAGGCCTCTGGGCATGGCCCTGGGACAGATGACCAGAAGAAAGGATGTGGTTTTGGCGAGGATATGCAGGAGAGAGACCAGAGGTGAACGAAAAGCTCCCACAGCAACAAGGGCAGGCTCTGTCATCATATCTGTCGGTGGCCCCACCTTTCAGCTGGACTCAGACCCCAGAGCCGTCTGACACCTTCCCTTCTATTCTCCCCACAACTAAGCGGTCGTGAAGTCCTAAAATTCCCAGGCTGGGGTCCACAACAACATATCTGATTAGTACCTCCCCCCCGCCCCCCCCCGTGCATTCGTCCCCAGTGCCTTGTCGCCTACCCCCACCGCTCAGGCCTGGCCACTTGCTTGGCCCCGCCC